ATTTAAAATTATAATGAGTATTGCTCTCATTGCTGGTTTTTTTCCAACTCTATTTGAAAGAAAAGAAGTCACAAAAGTTTGTGAACACATCCCCAGAGACTCACTCACACTGTGATTTTAAAAAACTCTAATGGTTCAGGTTCCATTGTGAACCTCTTTCATATAATTTATTGCAGAAGACAATTCACATCTGTAGGGACACTGAAGCATTCTGTTACTCTAAATAACTGAAAATAGACACTCAGCTGACAGGAAAATTTTAGAGAAGTCAGGAAAGATGTAGCTGAAACCAGAAAACAAAACACCACAGCCTGAAGGAGGGATCTGAAGGACTGGACTGGTTTTTACTACTATTGATCCTGGCACTTGGAAACAGCCAAGAATTTGCATCATTTATGAGGATCAAATTCATGCAGGCAGGTAAAAAAAGGGAAATTCATTTCTTTAGACTGAATGCCTGCTGTCCATCCATGACCACACTCTCAACATGACACTCAGAGCAGCTCTGTCAGCACTGCTCAGCTTTCTATATATTGAACCATACAGATTTTACATTAGAGGGCTATGAGTAATATGAATTAATACAAATTTAAAAATAAAATAACAGTTTGATTTTGTCTGTACTGATTTATAGAGATCCAGACTTTCAGTTTTTCATCATACTTTTTATTTATATTTCTCTTAGTTGCTCACATTTACCCTTGATAAAACAAACCTATTTTCACATACTTAGGTCTCCATTTCAGCTTCAAATTTGTTAATGTTCCCAATTTCCAGAAGTGACAGATGACCACAACATACAATATTTCTGCAAAGAACTATTATTTCTGTTACTTAAAAAACTAACAGAGAATTTAATTCCCCATTGCTTTAGTGTTAAAAGTATTTCCAGGCTCCTACACATCACCTCCAGCTGGCAGAACCTAAGTTCCTATTTCCCAGAACTAATTTAACAACACAAATAGGGACCAAAATCCTTCAGCAGCACCAACACCACAGGCATTTGAGAACATTACAATAATAACAATAATAAAATATGATTGTAGCAAACCTTCTACGCTCAGCTTTCATCTTGACAGACAATTAAATCCAGTGCACCACCATGTGGCAACATATTAGGGAATGGTTCACATACCAAGACCTGTTTTCTTCCACCTTCAAAATTTTTTGCTATTTCTTATAAAATAAATGTTAACAAATCCTTCTTAGTGTTTAAAAATCCCCCTTAACAAGTTGGCACAGCTTCACTCATCTCAAAGGCTATTTTTTAATACACCTGGACTAGCAAAATAATGCATGAGCATTTTTATTTGTAAAACACAGTATTTACCTAAAAACAGAAGTGCCCCAGGACCAGAGAACAAGCTCTGTTTCCTGCCAGCCTCGCTCCCTCACACAGGAGAAATCTGGCAAAAGCCTCTATTGCACATCGAATTCCTTTCAAAACATAAATACATTTAAAAAAATAAATCAAGATAAATGCTGGTCTCACATCTGATTAAATGCTTAAAAACAATCTTGAGAAAAAAATCAAAACCTTGAAGGTATACACATGCATTATTTAGCAGCTGCTCAGTTACTCTGGAACTGCCTCTCTCCAGCTGAACAACAAGCAAATAAATTATTTTTTTTCCACGAGAAACAACAACACAAGGTCTCAACAACCCTAAGAAAACCCTGATTCCCAAAGCCAGCATATGCCACTTAGTACCCCGGAATTTACTTCTGCAGCCAAATGCTAAACTCAGAGGGGAAAAAAAGCCAGCTTTTCATTAAACTGAACAGCCTTGCCTCGCACAGCACAGCGCTGCTGTATTTCACCTTATCACAAAATTCCAGAATTCAACCTCAGCTGATTCTGGATTTCATGAAACAGAGACTTAATTCATCATGCCTTAACATATTTGTGAGCCATTTTGTAGCAACACACTGAACTAGCAGCAAAGACTCAGCACAGCCTCCTGCCAGGAGCTTTATCTGGACTCCCCATCTCCGCTCCGGGCTCTTTCTCTCTCTCGGCTCACCGGACCTAAAGGCTCTGCTAAAACCGCTCCGAAATCTGACAGAAATTTGGGTGACGATGTGCAGCCACGCCAGGGAGGCAGGCAGAGCAACGGGTTCCCACAAGCTCCGTACCTCCAGCACTGGGAAAACCTGTCGTGGAAGAGGCTGGAGCAAGCAGCGCTCTCCTTCCAGAGCCCAGGACAGACAGACCCGCCGTTCTCCTGCTGCAAAAGTTGCTTTGGAGTGATGTGAAAGTCTTACCACAGAGCTCATCGTCAATCCAACCACGTTAAGAAAAAAAAACCAAAAAAACAACACACCCCAAAAGCCGAAAAAAAAAGGTAATTCACCTCCTGCTTGAAGATGACGCTGGAGTTTCCTCATCTGCAACTCCAGGTCCCCTCCTTCCCCTCTCCCCCAGCCCAGCCCTGCTAACACGAAGCCTGAAAAGCTCTTTCTCTGCTACGAAGACCATCACGATTTTCTGCCAAAGACAAACCAATAGCAAGAACACAATGCACATTATGCAAGTTACTGCAGAGTTATGCAAGTTAGATGCATATTTTCACTCGCTCTGCCGAGGACTCCGAAGCCACTTGTTTGATGTGGATGCCTACTCTTATTCCGAGCTGTCAAATCTTCCTCTGCTTGTCTCAACTGGCTTTTTCACACTAAAATTTCAAGCACTTGCTACGGGTATTAACGAAGCCCTTCCATTACATACAATAATCGAGGCCATTAAAGCCACAACATCTGAGCACAGTATCACTCATGTTTACCCCCAAACCAGGTCTTAGGAGACGTGGTAGGCAGAGCACAGCCCCTTATTTATTGCAGATACCCCACGCTCCACATTGCCAAAACAGAGGAAAGCATCAAAAATCTCTTGAGCCAAACCAGGCCTCATGGTGGAAGTACCACCTCACAAGCAAAAGGAATTAGAGAGTTACATAAACACTCCTATGCTGGAAAAAAAAAAATTTTGTTCAAACACCCCCCGAACCTGATGGTTTGGGGTTTTTGTGATCTACCTCCATACTTCTGCAGTCAGCACTAGTGGAGCAAGAAGACACAGATTTCACATATGGCTTTACAGTCAAAAGTAACTGGGAGCAACTTCTCCAACAATATAGGAGCCCTCACTATTTCCAAGATGAGCCAGACAAAAAATGCAAGCTTTTTGGGCACTAAATCCATCAATTTCAGCGGGAGAGCTATCAATCTACCATTTTAGACAACAGTTCAGAGATCTGACCATACCTACCAAGGAATGTGGAGACATACCACTTTATTTCTAATTTCTGCCCCTTCTCCCCTATTTACCAGCACTGCCTGTAACAAAGCATAGAAGTGACATCCCAGTAACTTTGCAAAGCCGTGAACAAGCCCCCAGAACCTGAACCCTTCTGCTCACCCACCAGACACAAGCACACAACCACTTACAGCCCCAAGACTGCTCCAAGCTTCAGAAAGCAAACAAGGTTAAGGGCACTCCTCGACATCCAGACTTCTGAGGGAAGCAGCTCCTTCGGCCAGGCTGGATTCATCTCATTTGGGAGCAAAACCAAATCCAAGTGTGATGCCTTACGCAAGCAACAACTATTTATCTAAGGAGTTAAATAGAGCCTGCTTTTACAAGTAGCCTGTGTCTCATTCTGAGAAACACAAGTAACCTCCAACAAACCTGAAAGCTGCACAGATTCTGAAATGGGAGGCAGGGAGGAATATATGAAAGAAATCTGGTTTTAAAAAAAAGGAGAGTGGAAAAGAATTTAAGATCTTTACAACGGGTATTTCAAAACCTTCCAACACACCCAGCACAGGTATCCCTTCCCTGAAGCAGGGCACTAACTGCACAGGGACCACCTTATAAAGTTACCTGCCCAAACCTCAGGGAACAGGAGCATTTATTTTTAAATCACTGATGAAATTCGGTATTTAAACACTTTTAACAAGTTCTCAGCTGTAACCAACAAGCAGTTTCAGAGTCCCTTCATGCAAATACCTTCATCCCACGAAAAAAAAAAAAAAAAAAAAACAACAACCAGCCCAAACCCAACAAGCAGTCCTCTATTCCCAGCAGCCTAGAGAGGATTATACGGCCACTGAAGAATGCGAGTTGTTACTACGTGCATTTTAAAACAGAAGGGGGGAAAACAAAAATCATGGAAAAAGACAGGAAGCAGCTCACCTTTATCCTGAGTGCAGGACAGGATCTCCTCCTCTTTGGGGTTAGTCACCTGGGTGATAATGGACGGGTTGTCCATGGAAACAGAGTGAGATTCCACCTGGCTATTTCCCTCTCAGAGGCAGGCTTGTGTGCGGGGCGGGGGGGGGGGGGGGGGGGGGGAGCGGGTTTGTTTGTTTGTTTAAAAATAAAAAAAAAATCAAGGCGCAGGTTTGTATTTGGGGAAAAAAAAAAAAACTATCGGAAAAAAAAAAAAACCAAAAGCTCAAGAAGCAACCCCTCCAGGAGCGAAACCGAGGGGAAGGGGGTGGGAAGGACGCCAAACGCGATGCCACCGCGGCCTCCTGCCGGCGCCAATTCTGCACGGCGAAAGGGGGGGCGGGGGGGGAAGGAGGGTAAACCCCCCCCCCTTAAAAAAAAAAAGAGAATTAATCCAATTCACCCTTCCGGGAAGCCCGCCGAGCGCTTCCCCCCGAGCCCCCGCCGCCTCCCGAGGCGGGGGAAGCTCCCCCGTCCCTCCGCTCCGCGCCTCCCCCCGCGGCCTCACGCCGCCCCCCGCATCCACCTGAGCCGCCCCTACATACCCCCCCCCCGCCGCCCGCCCCCGCGCTTATCTCATCCCCGCGCCCCCCTTCCTCCCGCGGGCAGCGCTCGGCGGAGCGACGCCGGGCCGCCCCCTCCACCTCCACCTCCACCTCCTCCTCCTCCTCCCCCCGTTCCCGGGTCGCGGGCGAGGAGGGAAGCGCGGCGCGAGGGGAGGAAGGGAGGGGAAAGGGGCCGAGCCGCTCCCCGCGCTGCGCCACAACCCGCCCGCCGCCGCCGCCGCTGCTGCCGCCGCCGCCGCCGCGCCCCGAGCCCGTGAGCGCGCCCGGCCCGCCCCGCGCCGGGTCCGGAGCGAGGGGCGGGAGCGGCAGCGCCCGGCGGTGCGCGGTAAACAACGGGGAGGGGCCGCGGTGACGGCGGAGGGCGGGCGCAGGGAGCCGTGAGGGCGCGGGGCGGGCCGGGCCGAGCCGCCATTTCCCGCCTAGGGCTGCGCGGGAAAAAATAAATCACGGCGCCGGGATTGTTGGGGTGGCAAAGGAGCTGTGGGATCGGCGGGTTCGAGCTGTGGGGTCGGTGGGTTCGAGCTGTGGGATCGCCGCCGCCGTGTCAGCACCGAGTGCCACCTGCGGGATTCCCTCCAGCGCCTCCCGAGACGGGGATTCCACCGCCTCATTCCACCGCCTCACCGGCGCGTTCTGTTTCTAATCTCTAATGTCGAAGGAGTTGATTCTAGTGTCCAGCCGAAATCTCCCCTGGACAATGCGCGGCTGTTCCCTCTCCTCCTGTCCCTGTTCCCTGGCAGCAGTGCTGTCCCCTCCTGTCAGGAGCTGTGCAGAGCCGCAGGTTCCCCCACGATCTCCTTTTTCAGGCTGAGCCCCTTTCCCAGCTCCCTCAACCCCTCCTGGGGCTCCCGACCCTTCCCCAGCTCTGTTCCCTTCTCTGGATCTGAATACATGACCAGGTGTAAACCATCTGATCAGAAGAGGTGTGAAGTATTTTTACTTTTTTTTCAGAAGCAAGTGTGTAGCTCAAATCACAGAATCACTCCATTTGGAACTGACCACAGTGGGTCATCTTGTCCCACGTCCCTGTTCCAGCAGAGAGGACCCCAGCAGGGCCATCCCAGAGCACAGGATTGTGTCCAAATGGTTATGGAATATCCCCAGGGAGAGAGACTCCACAGCCTCACTAGACAATCCTGAGAGCTCGGTCACTGCACAAGAAGTTCTGCCTTATTTCCAGGGGGATCTTCCTGGGATCATTCCTGCCCATTCCTCCTGTGCCGTTGCTGGACCCCGCAGAGCCTGGCCTGGTCCCTGCAGATGCTGGCAGACATTGGTGAGGTCCCCTCAGTGCATCCTCACAAGGCTGACCAGCCCCAGCTCCCTCAGCTTTTCCTCATAAAAGAGTCCATTAATCTTTCTTGTAACCTCTGCTGGACCCACCCCAGGAGCTCCATGTCCCTCTTGTACTGCAGATATATGGATGGTAGGCTTGGCTGCTTCTCTCACAGCAAATACTCTGTCTTTTTCCTAAAAGGCATGTCTGGCTCTCCAGGAATTCCCAGAGCTGCTGGTTGCTGGTGCATGAGGATATAAATTACAGTGTACTTGTCCTGATCCTACCCTCCTCTGTACCTGCCATTACCCAGAGCCTTGGGCCTGATGGTGAGGAAAGTACATGGGGAGACCCACCCCAAAAAATGGCTCTTTTATGGGGCTACCAGAGTGTAAAACCAAGAGAAAACCTTTTAAAAAGGCATGATGGTGTATTTAACATAAATAAAGAATTGTAACCTCCTTTGCCTCCTAGAAAAAAAAACAACAAACTAATGTATATTCAAGCCTCCATTGTAACCTTGCTACATTAAAGATAGGTATAATTTTATAATTAATTAAATACATGGGGAAAATCCTTCTGTAGCCGGCATAGACACAGGCAACATGAATTTTAGTGATGTTGGTTACAATTATCTTCTTTTTGCACTAAAAGAGGAAAACACTGACATTTTGCATTAATAAAATATTTATAAATTTATCTATGAAAAGTTTTACTTAACAGTAACAAAACTTCATGGCATTAACTCCCCATTCCTGAAAGTGTCCAAGGCCAGGTTGGATGGGGCTTGGAGTAACCTGGGATAGTGGAAGGTGTTCCTACCCATGGCAGGGAGTTGGAACTGGGTGATCTTTAAGGTCCCTTCCAACCCCAGCCATTCTGGGATTCTGTGATTCCTTTCAGCTGCTAAATTGGGTTGCAGAAATGACCATTTGGTTTAATTCCAGCAATTTAAGCAGCTGTTTTTGTTGTAGCTCTTCCTGGCTGTGAAAGAAGGCTGTGGGCCCAGCCTCGAGGAATTTCTGCTCTGCAGCAGTGCCACATCCAGTTTCTGCAGAAAATGACTTAACAGCTCGGGGGCTTTGTTTCATTCCTGCAGTCAACAGATTTAAGCATTTTGCTGTGAGCATTCAAATCACTGTGTTTTTTTCCAGTGTAGAAAAAATCATTCCAAATCTACCTGTGCTTTCTGCCTCCAAAACTAACACTCCCTACAGAGCAGTACAGGCAGAGATACCTGTATTGCAGGTTTCTGGGACTTGTATTTTAGGTTTTCCTGTCCTACTCTTATGACAAACACTTGCACGGGGAGTGAGCACGATGCCACTGCTTGCATTGCATCCAGCTGTGCAAGTTCCAACCTGCTCCTTGGCTTTGGCTTCTCCAGACAAGAGTCTTGCAGTTACAAACAGTCCCTCACAGGCTGGATCAGGCACAGGGGAACAGGAGTTGGTACATGTTGGCTGGTGGAATTAGCCCTGCTGCCTGTGAAGGCTGGGAGCTGCTGCTTCTGAGCTATTATGCAGCTTTATCACAACTCTGGTTATGTTGTAACCCTGCAAGTGCTTGATCTTTTACCCGCCCAGGCACTGCAGGCATTTTTAATTATCTGAGGGTTAATTTGCATAGGAGCTTTTGCTGAAACAATAAATTCATACCTCTGTTATTATCTGGTATGAGTTTCTGTATCAATATTTATATTTGGGTAAAACCAAAGAAGCTTCCTGCTACCATTAAGACAAAAGAATTGCTTCAGAGCAAGTTCAGGAGTCAGCCAGCACTAAGAACACCTTCCAATTCTTTGCAGGGAAAGGGAAATTGTAATGTGTGGTGGGAGAACAAACGTTCCAATGCCTCTTTCCTACGCAGGGATGAGGAGACAGAAACATCTTGTCTGCTGAAAAGCACGTTTTGCAAGGCTTGACAAATACATTGTTCACCTCGAGCCAGTGTGGTCTGTGTGATTTTAATGCTGGTAAGATTGTTTCTGCAGCTCGTGTGGTAAAACTCCAGTCCAACAGCTCACTGTGTGTTCATCTTCATCAGGAATTTGGTATTTGCTTCAGTTTAGAGGGGGAACTGCTGTTTGTGGTGATATAAAAGGGGGAAGTAGAGTGAGGGGATGTGCCAGGAGGGGCTGTCTCTCCCCGTGCTTGTCCCTTGCTGCTGCCATGCAGCTCCCTCACCCCTCCAACCCAAGGTGGAGAGCAAAAAAGCAAGATACTGACAGCACACAAGGAGCTGTAGAAAGTCCATACTCTTGCAGGGCAGCAAGAAGCAGAATGGAAGTGCAGCAAGAAGCAGAATGGAAGCAGAATGGAAGCTGTTCTTGTCCCGGCAGCGCTGCTATAACCTCACAAACAGGTCCTTTCCCCCGGCCATGGGATCAGCCTCTCCCACTCCCACCACTCCCATTCCTGTGCCAGTTATGAGACTGATGTTACAGAATCAAGAGCAATCCATGTTGTATCCTTTCTGGTTTTACTTTAGGAACGCTCTGAAGTGTGTACAGTATCTTCTATCTATGTTTCTTTGTGTGCTACATGAGCTAAATCCTAACTAATCCCATGGAACAAGGGAATGGTTTCATCTCCCTGTCACAGATCAGAGGTGGAGGTACAGACAAAGCAATACTTAGCAGGGAATTGCAGCACCAGCTAGTAGGAGATCCAGGTTTTCATCATGACTTCTGACATTTGTCCTTGCTACTAAAATGTGTCCCTCTCTCAATGCCACAGGATGTTTTATAATGCGGGGGGAGGGAGAGGGGTGGATGTTTTTAGCAGGACTGTTCTGCATTAAAAGGAAGCATTTATTTTCGTTGGTATCAGCTCTGTGAAGTCTTGACCCTGGGCCCACAATGAGAGTTTTATCCTTGACTTTAATGGGAGAACAATCAAGGTCTCATGATATTACATCCTAAAGAAAGGAAAATACTGTAGTTTGTATCAATAAGATAAATGTCTCATACTTAGTATAAGCGGCTATATTCTTGCAATAAATGGTTTTTTAGATTGATTAAACGTCTTAACTTCACCTCAGCTATTAATCACTTTTGGCAGCTGTTTACTGCTTTGTATACTTTGAAGTAATGGACATTATTCCTTAATTATCTCATTGCAGCTCAGTCATTGTTTCCTAAATAGTGCCATTAGAATGGTAAATTGCAACAGTAAAACAGTGTCAATAGGAAGTTATGAAGTTCCCATTTTATGATGCATTCATAAAGTTAACTCAATCTACTCAAAATGTGGCTGTGATTTCCACACAGTGACCTATTTGCTATGACAGAAGAGATTCTGATGAAAAACAGTTGAGTTTTAAGTGTGCTGGGACCCTGCTTTTACCCAGTAAAACACAGCATATTCCCTGTTGGAATATATGTGCATATCAGAATTTATTAAACTAGTGCTTGTTTGATCACTTTTGGTTTCACTGAGTGCTGTGAATTCTGAGGATTTTGTGCCTTTGAATACAATGCATTTATTCCTGTGGAAAAAAAAATGAGAAAACTCCAAGCAGTGCTGTCATTTAGATGTTACTATTGTGATTCTACAGAAGGATAAGAGAACCAAATCAATCAGAAGAAATGGCTGCTTTTAGTTTCATCTCCAGATCTGGCAGCAAATCGTAAGGTAGCAGTTGTACAACAATTTCCATTCTGAGTCCCTTTTTCAGTCAACTGTAACTGTCCTGAACTTTAACATTATAAGTTGTCTGTTTCAGGCTGAGTTGTTTGGGTGGAATTAGTATTACTGTCAGTCTAAGAAGGAGTCATGAAACTGGCTTTCAAGTACTGTAACAGAAATTGTCTTTCTTCTTTCTCCCTAATAAAGGTTTTTAGGGAAAAAATAACTTTGGAAATTATGAGTTCTTGTGACTTTTTTATTCTCCTGGGATTTTTACTGTGCACATGATAGAAAATGTACTTCTTTACCTTGGGCTAAATTAGTGCTAAAGACAAGGTGAATAGATTTTTTACTAACATTAAGAATTTATGTTTAACCCCAAATTTCTGCAGACTCCTAATCCAGAAGCTTTGATTAAAGAACCCAACTAAGATGAAGCCTGACTGTGCCAGATGTCAGACACCCCCAGGAGAAACAATGCCTGAAAAGTGCTCGACCCAGAGGGAAGCAAACATATAATTCAAATGCCTGGCTGTAATTTTGGTTCTGGGTTGAATTCAGCTGGTGATCCACAGCTGGAAGGTTCTGAGGGCTCCTCACCAGGTGACCTACAAGTGACATATCCAGTTCTACCTAACAGCAAATGCTACACCTTTGCAAGGCAGCCTGCTTTTATTAATTTATTAATTAATTTATTTATTTATTTTTGGCAAGCAACCAAATCACCTTCCAGCCTTGTCAAAGGCTGGTGAGGAGTCCCATTCATGTGCTCATTGCATCTTCTAGTTCATCTGGTCAAGCTTAAACTGTCTCCTGGTGCCTTAAGGCGCTCCTCTTTAGAGCTAGAGGAGAGCTGCTGCTGGGATTCAGCTGGCAGAAACATTTGTTAAAAAGCCCTTTCTCAGTCAAACCCAGGTGGCTGAAGGCATCAGGTTGAGTTCTTTAGCCCAAATAATTTATCCTAGACTAGATCAGAGATTACTCTGAATCTTTCAAACTCCAGAAGCAATAGCACAGGGCCGAAACCCAACCATTTAGGAGGCAAGAGCAACTTCAAGTTGTGCAACTACTTATTTATCTGCAGCCTTAGACCATATTAATGCTACAGAGAGGTGGTGGATGCCCCATCCCTGGAAACATTCAAGGTCAGATGGGGCTCTGAGAAACCTGATCTGGTTGGAGATGCCCCTGCCCATGGCAGGGGGGTTGGACTAGGTGACTTTTCAAGGTCTTTTCCAGCCCGAACCTTTCCATGATTCTACAGCCATTTGATGTTGGTGAGAGATGAGAGGTGGAACATGTCAACAGTAGCAGGGCTTCACTTTTGATTGTTCTGCTGTTTCACTTGAGCACAAGAGTGGGACAGGATAAAAGGTGGCTTTGCCCTTATCTGGTTACCTATTGTGAGCAGTCTGTTCTCCAGTATCCTGCTGCAGCATTCCTGCCAATAAGGCTGCAGAGGCTTGGTTTCCATTTCAGTTTCACTGGTTGTCAGAGAGTTTATCTGTGAAACAGATATAACAACAGCTAATCTCATGTTATGGTTCCGTGGCTGTTTATAACTCCTATTAATAGCAACCATGGAAAGCCTGAGAGTGGATTTTATAAGGCACTGGGGTAACCAGTTACTGCACATTCCCCTGAGGCTACGTAGCATCAAGTGTAGCAGCTTGTCCTTTCCAGACTAGGTCATGATCATCTTAACTTTGGCATTCCCTATCTTTTGAGGATTTGACTTCATGCATGCTCTTAGTAATTCTTTCTGAGACATGATTAGGAAACAATTGATTTTGCTCTATGATTTATGCTTACAAAGATTCCAGCTGATTTAAAGGAGACTCTGTAATTAGGCTCTTCCTTGTGCACCAGCTCCAGTGAGGATTTTGCAGCACTTAAAAGGGATTGACTGGACTTACACTGGAGAAAAATCGGATGGGTCCATGATGCTTTGGTAAGTCTTAGAGGTTAATATTTTTAAATGCTTCTAAATTCCAACTGCTGGTACCCATTTTTAAAAGTGTGTGTTTTATCCCCCAAATGTGGGAAATGTTCTTGTAATACCCGATTCAGTGAGGCATTGACCATTGTCACATATAAAACAGGACAACAAACACCTTCTTACTGATAGGTACATGATGGGGCTGCTGAGTTAATGAGGGCACTGGTTGATGGTGCCACATCAGTGACACAGTTGTGGTTTTCCATGAAGCACAGCAAACACGGGAAGGTATTTGTCTGCCGATTCTGGGGGAACCAGCTGATGAGCTGTGAGAAAGTCCTGCCTTTGTGGAGGATGAAACAGGATAAGAAAGTCATGACAAAGGCCTGAAACAGCCCTCAGCAAGGACTTCAGGTCATCTTGGCACACAGAAGCAGTAATTTATAGCAGGAGTCACTGCTGAAATCATTAGTGTGAGCTATGGAATAAAGCAATAGTATGAATAAAGGCAGTAGAATCTGGCCTAATTGAGAAACAGAAAAGGAGGAGTGAGTAACACAAAAGGTCTTGTAAGTGCAATGTCCTGTCATCTGAGTCAACTGATAGTCATGGTAAGTAGCCATCTAATTTATTTTTTAAAGGACTCCTCACAGGAAAATCCTGCTGACTGTTGGAAAAATAAAGTCAAAACTATTAAGAATTGCAATGAGAAATTCTAGTCACTGCCTAATTCTCTGCCTTTCATTTCAAATTGCATAAATGGTAACTTAGCCTTTGGCCTCATGCCCAGAGAAGCACCTGAGAACACATCATTGCATCATCATCGAGAGTCCATTGGCCTTTTTAAGTTATGGGTTGGCTGTGGAAAGTGAAGTGGCTTGGTTGGTTAAGGCTGATACTAGACCCTACTAGCAGTGAGTGACTACCACAAAAAATGCTGGCATGGAAACCACAGGCACTCTTTGAAACCTTTGGAGCTATGACGCTTCCACTCGCACCATTCGTCTAATTGAAATTTCATTCACGTGGCTGCTAGAGGAACCTGAGAGTGTCAGGAATGTGAAAGAGCATTTTTCATGATGTGGTGTGGTCTGTGTGGCTGGAAGTAGAGAAATCAGAGTCAAAGTGGGGAGGTTTGAGTGAAGGAAAGACGACAGATTTATGAAAGGCGTCTGTGAATTCTGTACACAAGCTATGAGGGGAAAGCGTAGATGGAGGAAATGGTAATGCAGAGGAAAGGAAAACGGACTACAGAAAGAGGAGGAAATAGGAAATCCTTGAAGAAAACCTCCTAAGGTATCTTGACATTTCAATCCTAGTGTCTTTCCCCTCAGAATTTCAAATGTAGGGTGGACTTCAGCAGCCGGCTGCTGGAGAGTTGCAAAGAAACCTGGTGACCTTTGTTGGGAAAAGGCGCTTTAGATATTGGAAAAGCAGAGATGACTTAAAGGAGTTCTGTGGCTGTCCTTGGAAATAGTATTTTTTTCTTCTCCAATTGTCTCTTTTGCAGCCAGTGTAATGAAAAGATACCCAGTTCTGAATGCACCAAGTGCTCCATGTAACTTTGCTTTCTTGAATATGTAAAACAACACAGGTGTGGGTACTTGACTGGTTTCTGGAGATTCCCAAAGCCAAAGGCACTGGCCACCCACCAATAGTTTGGAGCAATATCTTCCACTTTTCACCGTAGAATTTGTGTTCCAGTAAAAAGGCCCTGATAAATATCTACGAATAATAGAAGTGTCTAAGCCTCAGGAAAAGCACTTATGTAGGATGACCTGGATGAAATTGAGCTTAATAAAAATATTTGATTGTGAGATCAAGATAATTCAGTAATCCTGTCAAAACTAGTCTCATTGTTCTGGGTTTTGTGCAAAAAGTAGTAGGAAGTGACCCACAGCATAAAGATCTACAGTTTTAAGTGTCAAAGGAAATATAATTTCCTGTGGAAAACTGAAGCATAGAAAGAGTAATTGAGCTGCAATTACACAGGGAATTTCTGGCAGGGTTGGGACTACCCAGGCTGCTCCCTCTCCTGTCTGAGGCTCAAGCTGCCCTTTAAGAGCTTGAAAACCAACCTGGTAAAGGCACAGGAAGGGCTGTGGTGTGATAGGTTGTGTACCCCTCCTGGAAGACAGGCAGTGTCTGTCATTCCTGGTCCTGTCCCCCATCCATCAGGAAGAGGAGCCCTGTGTGGATCAGCGGGACACGGGAGCTCGGCACTGTGAGCAGACACAAAGGGCTCACGGAGCGTGCACGATGGCCTCACGCAGCCCCAGAGCAATCGTTTGTTAGGATGGTGCCAAGTGTGAAAACGTAACCCATGCCGGGTCAGTGGGTCAGTGGGAAGCCTCTGCTTGTTTATTTTTGGATTCGCCATGCCAGCAGGATCCCGCTGAACTGGGATTCCCACAGAAGCCATTCCCAACCTAAAGCCCGTCCCAAGCCACCAACTTCATGAGTGCCAGAGCTGTCATGCACAGCAGGGACGTGGCTGGAGTGGAAGCAAAGAGGTGCAGCACTCTCAGATGAAGATGTGTGGGCAGCAGGCCTGTCACAGCAACAGAGTGTTGAGTGCTCCAGAGACTGATATGCCCCGTTAATTCAATTAATTGCTTCTTCAGCGTGGTTGAGAGATCAGCCTGTGAAGTACAAATATCTCAAGCCAAACAATTTTTTCCTTGTCTGCTGTGGGTAGAGTGTTCTACACATGGCTGTCTGTTGAGTGTTCAGCTGCAGTACCTGCATTTTGATGTTCCCAGGTGATTTTCTCCAGGCTTCACAGGACAGCCATCCTACATTTCACTTCCCCTTGGGTCAGTAAATGAAATATTTTCCTTGCATACTTGTGTTATGTTCAGCTGGGGATATATTTGGGTACAAGTCAAACTGGTGTTTAGAGACTGTGATAAAGCTGGAAAACAGCATGGCAGTGTGTTGGTCCACGCATCCCTTGCAAGGATTTACTCCTGGCCAGTCATCCAGCAGCTCCATGCAGCAGGAACATTCTCCAACCCATTTGCATGCAGGGAAGGCTTTGAACAGCCTGAATTTTCCCCTTGGCTGAAGGCCCTGTGCAAGATCCACACACTGTTTAGGACCTTTATGCATTAGCTTTTACCAGAATAGTTAAATAATTAAGACAGTCTGCTGGCCAATATACTGATAAATGAATTACTTGGGTTTCCGTAGGCTGCTATTTATGTCACCATGTGGTTTGTTGTTTGCAAGTTTTTAAACAGCTCCAGCTACAAGTGGGACTGGTAGAGTCATGGAGGGATGGTACTTTTTGGGAGAGTTGGGTTTTGACCTGGTGGGGAACCCTGAGCTCTCTCCCTGAGGAGAGATTTGTGGCTCAGGGGTTGGGTTTTATTTTCAGGGTGCCTGGGCCTGAGACAAAATCAACAAGCAGCTCTTAGGACACCTGCTTGACCTATAGTGCTTTGATTTAAGGAAATTAAACTCTACCCTATAGGGAAAGAGCTGAAATCCTGCTGCTTTTGGGAATGTTATTTCAATGTACTTGTTCAGTGAGTTGGCCTGGTAGTTTACAATTCAGAAACCCCGGAGCACTTGTGAATTGTGAGGGAAGTACACTATTCATTATCTGCTCTCAGGCATTCATCATGCCAGCGTAAGCTTCAATCCTCTCATCAGGATGCAGAACATTACTTATGACCAGTCACAGGCCATGAATAATGGCTTAACGAAATGAACAGTTCTCCAGCAATTCAGACCCAGGTTTGTTAATCAAAACTATTCAGAGCCAGATTCTGGAACCCCCTCAAACACTCTGAATAACACCTACCCCTAGTGCACCCTCTTTGGTTTTAATTGTATTTATAGTTTAGCAAACTTTTTTTTTTTTTCCTACATCTGGCTGACCTCACCCAACAGACTCACAGAAAAAGCTGAAGTTTGCCTGCGCCAAAATAAGTAGTTCTTGTCTCATTTTGCATTAGCACTTGCTGTAGAAAACCACTTTGGCAGTGACGATGAATCTGCATGTCTCTTCCAGATGGGATTTCCATGCTGGTCAGCAGCTAAGCGCTGCCTAAAGCTAAGCACTGACTTAAACCTATCTTTTCTTCTTTATGTGGGGAAAATAAGTCAAGTGACATGTTCTTTATGGGACCTCATGCACAGCAGTAAAATGGCATGGCCATATTTATCCATGTGTAAGATTAGGCCCTGTTCTGGTTGGTGTTTCACATCAACAGCAGCTTTATCTTGTATATTGCCAAACACACTTCAGGCTGCTGGAAAGTGGAATATAGCAGTGTATTTGCAACCCAGTCCCCAAGTATTCCTCTACAAATGTTCAAAGCAGCTGGTAGCTCAAACTCTCTTCCCCAGTCGTAGGAGGCGTCTTCATTTTTTTGGTATTCTGAGCTGTGCCAAGGAGGCTGGTACTTCATTTCCAGAACCAGGGATTGATTAAGTTGGAACATTTTTTATATGGGCAGATAGTGATGGGGCAAGGGGAAGCAATTTTAAACTCAAAGAGAACAGCTTTAGATTAAATATTAGGAATAAATTCTTCTCTGTGAGGATGGTGAGGCCCTGGCACATGTTGCCCAGAGAAGTTGTGGACTCCCCATCACAGGAAGCATTTGAGGCCAGGTTGGACTGGTATTGTGTAAGATGTCCCTACCCATGGCAAGACAGATGGTTTTTAAGATCCCTTCCCACCCAAACAATTCTATATTTCCATAACTCTATGATTTCATTAATGGAGAGCTTTCTGGGCAGTTGATGTAAGGTCAAGCCATGGAAATATTCAACTGAGTCTTGTATCTCTGATAGCATTGCAAATCACAGCCTTGACTGTCACTGCACATATCAGGTTAGGAACCCAGGAGTGGTTCCCCAGTGCTGTTTTGGGGTATGGGACTACCAGCACATGTGGAGGTGTAATGATATGCCCAGGATCCTCAATGCATTCCTACTCTTCTAATATACTTGGGATGAAACTCCCCATGAGACCCTCAGGGGTGTAGTTACCAACTTCCATTGTGGTCAGACTCCTCTATGTGTTTGAACAGAGCTCTTTATTTTATTTTACATATTCATTTTTGAAATGGTTTCCAGGGCATAATCTTCCATAACCAGTTCTTCTTCCTGAGGATCATATTTTGGGAAACAGCCCCAGCAGTTTCACCCCTGGAATGTATTTCCCCATATGATTAAATCTTGGTCCCTTTGTGTGGGTGAATCAGGGTTCAAAATGAGGAAGAAAAACCCCTCTGGATCCATGTCAGAGGATCTCTCTATCAGCAATGTCTGGTGCAGGGGAGGCAGAGCTTGCTCTGGGTTTTTTTTTCCACCAGATTACATTTTGATGCACTAGCTGCAAGGAGTGGGAAGGGAAGGAACAGGGAAAAGAGGGAGAAAAAAGGCTCTCATCCAGAGAAAAACCAGGAGTGCTTATCTCTCCCTCTCCCTCCTCTGCCTTGCATTCACTGCCTTCAGCTCTTCATCATCTCTTTCTGCCCTCAGGGGTATAAATGTAGGCATCTGTAGGGGAATAACCCAATACAGGGTTTTGACTCCTCTTAGAAGTTTTTCAGCAAATTTTAATTTTGGCCATTTCTTTTCTTCAGGCGTTGTATGTTCTTTATTTGAGAAAACACAGGAAAAATGCAACCCAAACAACATTTCAGTTTCTCCAGCAAAGTTTCTATTTTGATTTATTGAAAACTTGTCCAACCAGTTATTTATATTTTATCTGTGAAAGATTCAAAAAATTTCATCCGAAACATATTTCCATGGAAACGTCCATCTTTGATGAAATGTCTTTCCTCAGATGTTTCAGCTGAAGAATTTTGTCAGTCCTGGCAGAAAAAAAAAAAGAAAAAAAAAAAGAGTGGGGGACAGAACAAAGACCAAGCTCCCAGGAAAACATGCAATGCTTCAAGTTAATAGGCTAAAATGTCAGCTGGTAAACTGCCATAAAGCCAGAGAAGTCAACCAGTCGACCCGAGTCAATGGAGCTATGCTAATTTACACAGAGGATGTGGCCTTAGATTTTAATAGAACCAGCCAAGCAAGCTGTTTCTCCACTTACCCATCCTCCTCCCCTTTTAATAAGCTCTCAGTCATACCCGGCCTATCCTTTAATAATTCACCCTTCTCTCCTCATGATCCCTCTTCCCTCTCTGGAGATAATGGGATGGGATTTTCAGCTTGCAGCCCTCACAGAAATATCGTAGACAGGTTAAACTCTGCACAGCTGGCTACTGGCTTCTTACATATCCCTCGTGCCTCTTCCTGGACTCTGATATCCATCTTCTCTTTGCTCTTTGCTTAGCCAGTGCCAGCTGACTCCAGTGCAATTTGCCATATATTACGACGCAGCGCATCGTGCTGTAATCTATGGATCCCGGGATATTGAAGTATTAAGCTCACAGAGCAATCAATTACGTTAATGGGAGCTGTGTGCGTCTGGCCACCACTCTGGAAAACAGATCTATGAGATAGCTCCAGGACACAATCCAGCCTCTGGACCAAGAGGCTCCTCTCCTGTAGAAGTTTTTCTTGCTTGGGGCCAAACACAATTGGCAAGATGCACATTATGGGGTTTTTTTGTTGTTCTGTGTAAATACAGTATGAATGACTGTGTGAAACTGCTCCATCCTATTTAACATGTAACTGTATGAAAAAAATACTCCATGATCACCAGTTACAGAGCTGCAAATTTCTTGCCCTGTTCCCTTAAATTTTTTAAGATTCAACAGAGTATTTTTCTTAATCTAGTTCTAGTTTCTAGTTTTCCCTCTTTACTGCTTTGGTTAAATATGACAGAGAAGTGTTGATACAGAAAGATTCTTGCAAACCTTAAAAGGCTCAAGCATATTGGAAGATCCTCATTAAAAAAGGAGCGACACCTGATTGTCTCCCATAGAAGTAAATAGTTCTGAGTCTCCAGAGGATGTGAGCCCTTATTTTCAGTGAAATATTTCAAATACTAGAGTTATTTGTACCTGGTCTTGTTCACATGGAGGAGTGAAGATACCATGGAAAGTCTGAGATGTGTCCTGTGTTGATTTCTCAGACACCCAGAGCATGGAGCAGACCTTTTGCACACCTTTTCCCAGAGCAGCTGAGATGGTGTTTGATTGCTCCAGGTACAGAGCTGTAACTGCATCTTCCAGAGAAATAAAAAGTAATGTGTGAGAATGGTTCCCTTACTGAAGCCTTGTGGACTTCGCATTGATTAAATCAACGTTTTGGAACGACAGAAGTGTGATTGATGTCATTTGAATTTCAGCTCAGCATCTTGATTGGCATTTTTGCGTAATGACTTTTCCTTATTTGTTGAATTTAATTGATGGTTGTTGCATTTATTTCCAAAGAACGTTGCTTTAATTAAGAAAAGATCTCTGCTCTACAGAAATTAATATTCCCCATCTATATGGCACAAAAGGGTGTGTGGCGAACATAGAGAATAATTAGTAGCTGTAGGAGGAGAACTTATGAGAAGATGATTATGAATATGCAATAGAGGAAATAGACTACAAGGAAATTAAACCAATAAATTTATGAGTGAATAATTGACCTCTGAGTAAATACAAGCATTCTCTCCACAGCCACTTGACGTGTTGCTAACCACTCAGTATGTCAGAACATTAACCACCCTTTTAACCAACCAGTTCTTTGCTGTTGGCAAAGACTTGCTCTCCAGAGTTGCCTTCCTGTCTTGCAGGGTGATGCCATAAACACACGTGCTGCCAAAGCTTTGGGATGGGTGGGAGAAAGGTCATGATCTGCTACACACGTGTAAATCTACCCTTAGCCAAAGGAAATGTTTGCAGGGAATAATTAAATCTGCTGCATGATGATGCATTTCAAAGTGAGAGCAAAATTTTATTGACTGCCACCAAATAAAGTCACGTCTTTCCACTGCTAGGGCATCAGCTCAAGGCTGAGGTTTTCAGAATTGATGGTGAAGTTTCTAAAGTTGATTTTCAAAATTTTCAGGATTTCCATTTTCCCTTAGATGTGGAGACAAATTAGGAATCGTGGCTTCAAAGAGTGTAGGCTAGTGATGTCATCTTTTTCCCAAGAAAGTCCCAATGTCCTCCAGATGAGAGGCCTGACAGATGTGAACAGATGCATTGGCCAGAAAAATGGACCTGATGATATTTGTATTGGAGAGAAAGTTTGGATACTCACAGAGCATCCATGAGTAAGGGCTAGGCCTTAAACCTGAGTTGTGTGATGTAGCAAGTGGTGTCACAGCTCCCTGAAGAAAGACCAGCTTTGAGGATTCAGAAATCATAATGATAAAAGATAAGATAATGACATTTGTTTGCTGAAGAACTTTTGTATTAGAATGGTCCCTGATGAATGAGGTATAATGGATGTATATTGAAGATAAAGACTCTTTTCATTCCAGAGAGATAAGCTATTCCATATGGTTAGGGACCAAATAAATTGTGAAATTACTGCCAGTTTTACAGCAAATAAATTGATAACAAAGATGTGATATCAGTGGAGCTTTGCATTTTCTCCTCCTTCGTATTAGCTGGTTAGTGCACCAAGCATTTTTTACATCCTAGAATAGAGGGCAAGTAGTAATCTAAAAAATTTAATGATCAACTACAATATGTGACTGATTGAATCAGGAGGGTAGTGTGAAAGATGAGGTTCACTTGCTGGCCTTGGCCTCTTTGTTTGGCAAAGAGAGATAAGAAGACAAAGCTCAGTTTTATCAGAAGTTAACAAATTACTAAGTAGACAAGAATCTCAAATCAGCTCTTTATTTTCTGTGATCCAAGTAATTAATGGACTGTGTTTGGATGTGGTAAAAGACCAAATATAATAAACTGGTTATCAACCCATTCATCTTTGCTGGAACGTGGAGTGGTGTTGGGAGGTGCTGTCTGTATCAGGGAAGAACCTTTGGGCTGGGAGGGAGGTGGGCACTGAGCTCTTTCTCCTGCTTGGAAAGCCCTCATCTCCAAAGCTCTGGTCTATGTGAGCCCACACTCACAGTCCCAAGTCCCACCCTTGTCTGTCTTGCTGAAAGTCAGCAAATTTGGGGAAGTTCCATTTATGAGCTGAATGAATATAAGAATGAAATCAGAAGCTTATCCCAAAGAAAGAGGTGGATGATGTGCTCCTCTTCAGCACAGCCTTCATCAGCAGTAAACACTTCTCTTTCTTTCTGTGGAAATGAGGACAACTCTTAAGATAAAAACAAGTAATCAAAGAAAAAAAGAGATCCAGTATGATTTTCCATTATATATTGATGGGAAAATTTTAAAGTATACATCTATGATAGTGAAATCGTTTTGAGCCCCTAGAATTTGCTTTCTGTTGTTAGAATTATCCCTGGCACAGCTTTTGGCCCAGACCACCCAGACCTGTCCCAGTCTCCAGCTGGAAGTTCATATGGTTGAGGGATCTTTCCCCATAGGCAGTCTGGATGGAGCCACCCTTTTCTGGAGGCTGGAGGACTCTGACACAGAGTGGCAGCTGGCTTCTGGACCATTAAATGTCCTCTGGTCGAATTTGGTCCACTCCAAGAGGAAACCAAAACAGACATTCAGGGGAGATCCTTCCTCAGCTTCCTCTCCAGCTAAGAACAGCTGGGATAAGATGTAAGAGGGACAGGGAAGGTGAGAGATTTCTTACACAAATTATCCACATTAAAAATGACAAGACTGTGTGGAAGATCTGACACCATTTGATTTGAAATTTAGTACTTTCTGGCGCATTCTGCTTTTCCTTAGAGTGTTTGTGGAAAATATAAGGCGTGATGGAGAGCTGGGATACAGGAATTGAGGGTACATTTTGAGGCTCTGTTGTTGTGCCCTGTTTCAAAACGAACAGCAGCAAAGGCTTAAAGGTCAAGTTCAAGCTGGGGGCTAAGACTGAGATACAAAAGGAGAGAGCAGCAGTGCAGACTCCAAGAAAACATGCTTATACACCTCTTCTAATAGGTAAACACATATTGGTCTGGCTAGATGAGCCAGCTCTGTAAAGATGAAGACAGGGCTGTGCAGAACTAGAAATCAGATGCTGGATGAGTTTGATTTTGAAGTTCTTGAGAAAGGACTTCTGCCAAGGAGAGTCTGGCTGTATGGGCAGGGGAAGTAAGAAACTAAGCGGGTGCAGAAGTCAAAAGACGCAAAGAGATTATGCATAGGAAGAGATTGGAAGAAGCACAGGTTATCCTTGTTGAACCAAGATTAACAATTTCTAAGTTGTTAGATACTGTCTTAAATGGTCTGCATCCTAAAGCAGTGTTAAACATAGTGGGCCCATTTAGTTTTTACTGACACAAATGAGAAATAAACCTCTCCACTCACTTGAGCTTCTACTGCATGCAAGATCAAAATCAGAGCCAGAGGCATTTGGAGGCTGAAAGAAATGTTTTTGTTTTTGATGTCTATTTTTGCTGCCTCTATTTAGAGCAAACATAACCAGGGCTGCAAGTGAATACAGTGTCTCTAAAGAGGTGAGTTATTCCCAGCCAATCTGTAGTGGCAGAATGTGGTACCTTATGGGTTTGAAATAGACCATCCTCATTAACTACATGTTGGGCCAAACCCTGTTAATTTCTACAGCCCCTCAGGGCTGAATTTAGCCCATTAGAACAAAGTGATAATATCATTGGAAGCTATTTTTGTGCCCTGTGCTGCAAGTTGGATACTATGATACAGCATAAACTAGCTAAAGCCAAGATGTTTTAGGCTTTGGGGCATTAAATAGTTTCTTAGTATTTATCCATGCTTTTCTCAAGGGTTCCAACCAGTACTAATTAGTGTACATAAATGATGGCTGAAATTCAGGGAGAATTTCAGCAGCAGGTGTGTTGGGGGTACTTGTGGTGTCTTCAGAGCCAGGTCCTAAATGGCTTTGAATTGAGCTGTGTGATGTGGTGGGACTGTGATTGTGGGAGGTCAGTGATATGGAGTGAAGCAAAACTAGGCAGGAGTCCAGGCAAGATTCCTACTGAAGTCACTCTCATGGGCCACCTAGGGCTGTCGTGTTGTGTGTTGACCCACGCCTGTTTTAAATTGGAAAAGGAGAGATTTAAGTAAGATGTTAGGAAGAAATTCTTCACTGTGAGGGTGGTGAGGTATTAGCACAGAGAAGTTGTGAATTCCCCATCCCAGGAAGTGTTTTAGGCCAGGTTGGACAGGGCTTTGAGCAATCTGGCTTAATGGAAGCTGTCCCTGCCCGTGGCAGGGATGTTGAAATTAGATGGTTTTTAAGGTGCCTTCTAGCCCAAATTGTTCTGTGATTCTGAAACAGATGGCCAGACGCCTTCCCACAAGGGGAAACAGTTGACAAACCTGGTCTATGTGCTACTTCCATCGGTCATTTATCTTGTGGCTTTTGACCATCTTAAGTTTCTCTAAATATCCCGTGAGCTCAGGACAGCCCGACACTGCTGGGGCTCAGCAACACCAATAGAACTCATCAAACTCATCCCAAAGATCCCCAGTGTTCCCAGCTCACTGTCCCTTCCTCCTGCTGAGGTGGGGCAGGTGAAGGTGACATTTGTTACCTGGTGCTCTTCTCCCCGTGGCAGTGCCAGCGATGATTTCCCAGCTCACGGTGCCCGATGCACGCCCGAGCCGCGCTCTGCTGGAGTTACACCTGCTGCATAATCGGGCATCTGAGCCTCAGCCAGGCTGGGAACAGCTCCACTGGAGAAAAAAATCTGGTTAAAGGGAGAAACAGAGCGGGCAGGGAGCTGCTGGGTCATTCCCCAGCCCTCCTCGGATAGCCTGACACCACGGCAGAGGATCAAAGGTGAGGTGACCTTGTGCATCCCAGGCGAGGCAAAGTCCTCGTCACGGGCTGCAATGTGCATTAGCTCTGGAATGCAGACAGGCAAACACTGCCTCTGTTAGCAGCTTTAGGCAGGGGTCTAAGTTCGTCTGTCTAAGGGGGAAAAACTCCACATGTGTCCAAAACCTAAGGAAGTCAGTGGAAATATTCCCATCCACTCTGACTCAGGTGCTCAGAATATTCTTGGATCTGTTCTTCTGACCAGAGCTGTGGTTAGTCTGGCTGATGCTTAGCTTTGGTCCACTCTGTTTTGAAGCTGGGTGAAGCCTCAAAACCTCTCTTTAATTTGCTAAATAGGAAACCTTCATCTCATCCTGTAATTCTCATTATAATCTC